GCTCGTAAACGTTTCCAATCTTCATCATTCAATACGAATAGAAAATTATCCCAAATTGGATCATGAGTGACCATGTTCTAAGTTTTGTTTTTCCAAAATGAAATCATCAAACAATTTTCATTCATCAAATATCAAGGAGAATTAAACTTACACGACGATTTGGAAATTTAGTAAATTCACGATTACAAACAATCTGTACTAATTCCGGATCGGCAATTGAAATTGTCATACGATTCCACATATTAAAACCAAATATTTTACCATGTTCATTGAAGGCTTTGGTTGTAAACAAATCAAAACGTCTACCATAACCAAATAATACGGCAAAATTCCATGCCGGTATTCGTACATACGGAAGATTTTGTCGTTTACATTGTTGTTTTACTTGATATTCTCTATATTCAATATAAATCCATATTAATAATGGAATGATGATTGCTGAAAATCCAATCAAATAATAAAAATAGTGAACCAGCAAAGAAATTGCTGACATTTTTTGTTTTTCAATCATAAAGGGGAGAAAAAGGAAAAAATTTCATTTGTGAACAAAATCCACAACATTTTATATATCCATCAATAAGTTTTTCTACATTGATTCATAATCAAACATTATCAATGATTTTTTTGATTATTGAATGAAACTGATCATCCATTCATGAATGATTTTTATTTCATTAAAAATGATAAAATTGATATTTTTTTCTTTTCTTTTTGACTGTGTTATAAACATTGAAAAATTGAACAAATGTCATCATTATTAATATTAATCAACGTTTATCAACTTTTAAGATAATATCTTTTGGTATAAGTGAATCAATAATAACATGAAAATCTAATTTAGTTTTTGAACATAAACTTAAACGATATAAACGAATAAAATGTATGAGCATCATTTTAGCTTCAAATAATGCTAATGTTGTTGCTATACATTTTCTTGGTCCACTACCGAATGGTAGAAATGCTGATTTATTAAATTGTTTATCCGGATTCGATTGATTTTCCGGCAGGAAACGTTCGGGAATGAATTTTTTTGGTTCATAAAAATTATCCGGATCATTATGTAAATCGATTACCGGTATACGGATTATATCACCTTTACGAACATTGAACGATATTTTTTTATCACTTGTTTCAAGATGTACATCTTCAGTTGCCATTCGATCAATAGAAAATACAATTGTTAATAAACGCATTGATTCATTCAGAGCAGCATTAAAATATTCAAATTGATTCAATGATTCAAATGTTATCAATTCATATGGATCCAAACAACCATCATCTCTTTCTTTGGCTAATTTTTCCAATGTTTCTATTATTGATTTATAAATTTTTTCCTGTTTATCTGGATTTGAAGCAAATAAATAAACAGCATATAATATAGCTGATGTTGTTGTATCAAAACCGGCCGTAAAAAATGTAACACATTGTGCAATCAATTCATCATTGTTAATATCTAGAGAAAAATTTAGATAAAATGAAGTTTCAAACAAACAACAAACAAAACTAATGGACTTACGTTTAAATGGTTTACCACTTTGTTCCAAAATTTGTTTCTGTTCTTGTTCAACTTCCAATATTAATTCAATAAAATTATTAGCTTTTTGTGTTTCATTTCGAGTTTTCATTTGTTCACGTTTTTTCTTGATTATTTCCTTGGAAATATTTGCCAGATAATTTAATGCATCTGGTTGTATTTTCAAACCGATCATTTTCAATAGGTTTGGAAATGCCGAAGCTAATGCAAATATAGTCAGATCCATAAAAGAAATATCTTGTCCAAACAGTTTTCGAGCATTTTGAATTATCGGGTTGTTTGGATCTTGTAATGAATCAATTTTTATACCCATCGATATCTGTACGATACTATCCATTGTAAATCCACCGACAACTTCTTTCATATTAACATAGGGATCATTTTCAATCATTTTATTCAAATGTTTACACATTAATTGAATATTTTCATCCAATGTTGGTTTTACTTTACGTAATTTTCCCGTACTAAATGTTGGTGATACAATTGCTCGTAAACGTTTCCAATCTTCATCATTCAATACGAATAGAAAATTATCCCAAATTGGATCATTGGTTACCATGCTCTGTGTTTTGTTTTTGTTTTTCCAAAATAAAAATCAATTATCAAATTAGCAAATTTTACGTAAAATAACTTACACGATGATTTGGAAATTTAGTAAATTCACGATTACAAACAATCTGTACTAATTCCGGGTCGGCAATCGAAATTGTCATACGATTAAACATATTAAAACCAAATATTTTACCATGTTCATTGATTGCTTTGGTTATAAACAAATCAAAACGTTGTCCATAACCAAATAATACGGTAAAATTCCATGCCGGCAAACGTACATACGGAAGATTTTGTCTTTTACAACGTTGTTTTATTTGATATTCTTTTAATTCAATATAAATCCATATTAGTAATGGAATTATGGATAAAAATCCAATCAAATAGTAAAAATAGTGAACCAGCAAAGAAATTGATAACATTTTTTTAACAAAATTATTGAATATTTTCTAATAAAATAATTAAATTAATTATCGTAAGGAACAAAATTACCCAAAGATTTTTATACCCAAATTTTCAAATCAAATCAAATCACACATCAAACAAACAAACATCCGAATACACTTTTTAAATGACATTGTCTTATCTCAAATTAAGGTTGATTATTGATGAAAAACAAAAAAGCAAAAAATCGAATGTGATACATTAAATATCATTCATTAATCAATTCTTGACTGATGATGATGATCATCATGATCACATGAATGATTTTAATCAGTTTTATTTTGTTCGGTTGTTTTTTTGCTCGGTTTATAACCAAAAGGAAAAAAAAAATCTTATCACATTTTTTTTTCGGGTGACAAATCCATCAAATGTGTGTGTGTGTGTGTGTGTGTGTGTGTGTGTGTCAATCATTTGCTAATCTTATGTTGATTGTATTGAATAAATAAAAAAATTCATACGGTAAACAGGGTTTTTTGAAATAGGAAAAATGTAATGGAAAAATATGTTCTGGAACGAATGGAAATTGATTACAGGGAATATTCCCAAGCAAAACAAAAACAAAACAAAACAAAAATGTTCCATTTTCAATCAAATTAAACATTATAATCATTGAAAAATTCTAATTGAATTTTGATTGAATTTCATTTCAAAAACAACAAATCTAAATAAAATCCATTAAACATTGAACAAATTGATAAAATTTGTAATTTATTTCGTTTTTTTATATTTGTACTTTTCCTTTTCTTTCTTATTTGTAAAATTATTTCTTGAATTCAACAACAACAACAACAGTATTTTAAAAGTTTTTTCCCATTGAACAAACACCGACAAATCCATTAATAGAGAGAAATAATGCAACGAGGATCAACATCAGCTACCGGTTTGGTATCATTAACAAAAAGTGATCCAACAAAATCATTAACACCATTATCATTATCAACACAATCATTAAAAACATCAAAATCAAAATCATCTACAAAATCATTAGCATCAACATCAAATACAAAGGTAAAAGTTGAACGTACAACAAGTAAAACTGGTGATGCAAAAGAAAAGATAAAAATTTCAGCCAAAGTTAATGAAGAAGAATTGAAAAAAGGACAAAAAAGTCAAGTAAATTGTGGCCTTTATTTTATCCTGCAGATNAAAAAAAAAATCTTATCACATTTTTTTTTCGGGTGACAAATCCATCAAATGTGTGTGTGTCTGTGTGTCAATCATTTGCTAATCTTATATTGATTGAATTGAATATAAAAAAAAATTCATACGGTAAACAGGGTTTTTTTTAAAAATAGGAAAATATAATGGAAATATAATGGAAAAACATGTTCTGGAACGAATGGATTTGGGTTCAATGGAATATTCCATGGGAAAATGTTCCATTTTCAATCAAATTAAACATTAATCATTTGAAAAATTCTAATTGAATTTCATTAATTCAAAACAACAAATCTAAATAAAATCCATTAAACCTAGAGCAAATTGGTAAAATTTGTAATTTCGTTTTTATTATTATTTGTATTTTTCCTTTTCTTTTGAAAAATTATTCTTTGATTCAGCAGCAGTATTTCAAAGTTTTTCCCTCTTAAAACAACACCGACAATCCATTAATAAGAGAATATAATGCAACGTGGATCAACATCAGCTACCGGTTTAGTATCATTAACAAAAAGTGATCCTACAAAATCATTAACACCATTATCATTATCAACACAATCATTAAAAACATCAAAATCAAAATCATCAACAAAATCATTAGCATCAACATCAAATACCAAGGTAAAAGTTGAACGTACAACAAGTAAAACTGGTGATGCAAAAGAAAAGATAAAAATTTCAGCAAAAGTTAATGAAGAAGAGCTGAAAAAAGGACAAAAAAGTCAAGTAAATTGTGGCCTTTATTTTATCCTACAGATTTTAGCATTAGTTACATTAATATTAATGGTCATTTGGTTTATTGAAAATTTTGGTGGTTTATCATTGAAAATGACCGAAGAACATATGGAACAATTTTTCAATCTACATCCATTATTTATGGTATTTGGTTTGGTTTATGTTGTTGCCAATTGTATGTGTATTTTACCAACATCATAGCCTTCCCCCTTACAGAATAATAGAATCCTCAACTAATTTAACCCTTTCCTTCCTTTTTCTATTTTAGCATTACTATTTCTAACATCATCATATGCATTACGTTTTGCACGTATCGTTCTTGCATTTATAATATTAACAATGGGTTGTATCGGATCGATTATAACATTTTATTGGCATTCAGAAAATGAATATGTACATTTTTATTCATTACATTCATGGTTAGGTATTATAACATGGATATTTTTAATAACATATTTTTTCTATGGTTTTAATGTTTATATAACAAATATTGATGATGATCGTCGTCGTGTACGTATGATACAACATTTACGTTTTATTGGTATTGCAACATTATTGATGGCAGGTGCAACATGTTTGCTTGGTATTTCACAGAATTTAATTGTACGTTCAATGATGAAAACACCACCACCACCACCATCACCAGAAGGATCATCGATAATACCACCAGCAGCAACAACAAATAATGAAACAAGTATTGATGATCAATCAATATTTCAAGCCAATTTGATTGGTAATACAATTGGAATGTTTTTATTTTGTTATATTTTATCAATGATTTATTTGATGGCACGTATGCGTTATGAACCATGGTCAATGAGAAAACGTGAACAAATTGAAAAACAATTACGTGCTACGGTGGAAAAAGCAATGGCACGTTTAGAAGAAGATGGTGTTTTAGATAATAAAAAACAACGTAGTAGTGGTACTGGTATTGGTGGTAGTCGAAGTAAAACTTCAATGACAAGAGGAGGAAGTAATGCTAGTATCATTAATCGTAGGAAAAAATCATCATCAAAATCTGGTTCAAGATCCCGATCTGGTTCAAGATCTCGATCTCGATCTCGATCAAGAACCAAATCAAGAACCAAATCAAGAACTGGATCGAAAACTGGTTCGAAAACTGGATCGAAAACAAAATCATCCACATCAAAAACATCGGTCACATCGGCAACAACAACAACAACAACCGGAACAATGTCGAAATCAAAAATTTAACCCCGAAAAACCGAAAAAATGACCAAGCAAGCACCAAAGAAATGATTTGGTTTTTTCCTGTTAATTTTCTTCATTGATGATGCAAAAATTTATTTTTATAAAAAAAAAAGTTTTTACAAAAAAAATTTTTTACTTATAAATATTTTTTTATTTCAACAAAACATTCTTGTTCAACAAGTTGTTTTGGATTTTCAACAATCAAATCTTTAATTGATTCACGGAATTTCGTTAATGTACATGGCTGTAAACAATCAGGAAATTGTAATGGATAAACGGATTCAGTTTCAGTTGAATTCAAATAGAATCCTTTAAAATATGGTTCATTAATTTGTGAATTTTCATATACTTCTAACATTATGGTTGAACCAAATGATGGTGGAATTCCATTGTAAACTTTCATTGATGCAAGAAATTGTGCTAACCATTCATCGTGCTTGAATTGTTTTAAAAAATGGATAAAGTATGGTTAAAATCGATGAAAGTGAAGAATCAAGAATCAAAAATCAATAATGACTTACAGTCGAATAGATATAAATCTGATGACGTCGATCATTTGTGGACGATGATGATTGACTATCATCACCAAAATGCGTATTTAACCGATGAAAAATTTCACCAAAAATTGCACCTGAAAACCAAAGAAGAGAAAAAAATATTAATTTAATTAGCGTGTTTTGGTTGTTTAAAATTCAGTTGAAAAAACAAAACAAACCACAACGAAAACGTTGAATTTTTCTTGATGTTGAATTAAATTGAAATACATAATCATTAATGATTTTCAATTCATTCCAAATATTATCATTTAACCATTTAGGTGATGGCAGATCAAAATTATGTTCAGATAAAAGAATATCATAAATATAAGCAGCATTAACTAAATTCATTTCATCCAATGAATAACCAGTCCAATTGGAAAGTTTTTCAAATAAATTTCGATATTTTTTAGTAATGTTTTTGGCTTCTTTTGATTGATAAATTTCATTGTTTAATATATGTTCAGCAAATGGACATTTATAATCGGGATTTAGAAGCTTTTTTTTCGGAGGGGAAAAAAATCAGTGGTTAATTAGCTACTTTAGGGTTAAAAATTATCGAATAATTAATTACCGAATCATAATCAAATGGAACAGTTTGTATTGCAATCGGTTGCCATAAACTACCCAATGAATCATTCATCCATTTCCATTGATTTTCCGGTGGAAACATACCGGCTAATAATAATGTAACGGATTGTAAACAACGTTCAGAACCAGAACTTCTAACATAAACATTTCTTGGTGATTTTTTTTCGATTGGAAAATGATTACCACCATCATTTTGGTTATAATAACGTTTCGAAAGATATTGTCCTAAATGATAAAGACGACGTTTTCCTTTGTTTATCAATTGTCCAATACCAACAGTATTGGTTATATTATCTTTAAATGGATCATTTGGATATAATTGATATGGTGTTCGTTCACCATGACGATGAAACTGTGTAAATGAAAAAATTGAATGAAAATAAATGAATTTAGTCCAAAAAAGTAACATGTTTTACATGGATAAAACCATCATCATTACCAGAAATACAAGTTTCAATTCTTCATTCGGTTTGTTTGGTTGTGGTTGATGATCAATTTCGGTTGAAATTATCGATTCGAATGTTGTTGAAACACAAAATAATAACAATAATAAGAAGAATATGATCGAATGATGAATGGAAATCATTTTATTCATGATCCGTTTGAAAGATGCTCAAACACACACAGACAGAGACAATCGAATGTTTGTTTGAAATAAATGTTCTTCGTTTTGTTGAAAATGCAAATCATAAATTTTCAAGAGAATTTGATTGATTGCTGATCGTTGATCGTTGATAATGATGGTCGATCATTGATGATAATCAATGGTTAATCAATGGTTAATCAATGATATTAATCAACCATTTTCTAATGGATTTATTTTTATCCATAACAACACAATTGATATCCATAATTGATTTGTTTTGCTTTGTTTATTTTTTTTTTCTGGTATCCCAAGAGCAATGCGTGTTTTAAATAAAAAAAAATCAATAAATAAAATCAATAAAAAAAATGAAATTTTGCGTTTGATTATCATCGATTTTGTTGTTGTTGTTGTTGATAATGATAACCAAAAAAAAAAAAAAAAAAAAAAAAAAAAAAAATTTTGAAATTTTTTTTTTTTAAAAAATTCAAATTTTTTCTTTTAAAAAA